CCTCATGATACTGCTTCTGGGCTGTCAGCTGACCTGTACTGTACTCGGGGACTGCCTGTACCCTGTACTCGGGGACTGCCTGTACTGACTTACATGTGTTGTTGTTATTTAACAAAAGAAAACTAGCTCATGATACTGCTTCATTTTGGCTTTTTAGCGTTTTGTTATTTTTTAATATTGTCCATTTTATATTAATCAGTGTTTTATTTTAATTATTCTGTTATGGAGTTTTATTTTAATAAAATGGTTGCCATTTTAGAGCCACTTTTACAATATGCCACACCATTATTGAAGAACTGTATTTTGATTGGCTTTGACAATGGATTGTAATAAACTCATGCTATACTATTAATATCTTTTTAATTTAATAAGTTTGACATTATTAGTAGGAAGGAGATAAAAAGTAGCTAAATCACATTAAGCATGAATTCCCATGAAATACTTGTATTTGTATGAGACTGGTTTGAAGATAGGAATTTAAATTTTTCATCAAAATATCTATCTTTACTTCATTATATCATAATTTATACTGTACAAGTCAATGCAGGCAATCAGATGATGCATAAAAAGTTAGTTAATAACAATAGTATTCCTAAGAGGAAGGGAATGAATCAGCTACCATCTACAGTATTTTCCTTCATACAATTTGTAAAGAGACTTTTGCTTCTTTCCAAGAACAGGCAATGTGCTTAAAGAAGGAAAAAAAAAAGTTTGAAAATTAGAATATTTTGAAAGAAGAATGCTGATAAATATGCAAAATGTAGTAACATGAGAATCAAAATCTCAGAATTTAAATAAGGATTTTCTGTCTTCCCCCTACATCGTATGTGTATTTAATTTATTTTAAATTGTATGTTAATGTGTAAAACATTGTGGAGCAGAGCATTTTTTCAGTTTGAGTGTGAATAGCACAGATGACATTACTAAATAATGCTTCATATCATGGATTCATTTTTGAAATCGGTTTTATTCTTTTCTTGATATTTAAATTTCCATTCATGTTTTTTTGAAATATACACCTGTTAGCATATCTCTTTCATTTACCATGCCATGAGAGTTCTTCAGTCTCTCATAAATGGTCAGCTAGAGATTCCAATCTTTCAAAATTTATGCATGTCCATTTCTGCTGTTTGTAACATGCAGCATTTGGGATTTAGGCCGAAGTATCACAAAACACAAATTGCGTACATGTGCTTAGGCCTGGACTTGAACACAGATCTTTTCTCCACTGCACTATTTTGTTCTTTCTAGTTTACTTAGATAGCTATAAGTAGGAGAGAGTGATACTAAAATAATGTACGTTGAATAGTCAAATTCACTGCAAGAACTATTAACTCTGTTTAACATACTTATATTTACAGCTGACCAGTATTACTACTTGAACATTTTAATAAGTGACTGTACATCGTCTCGGTTTAGAGCACCTTAGTTATAAATTTTCCCCATTCTTGCCCCCAAAGATTTTTGATCCGTACCAACCTATTTAACATTAGACAATTTTTGCTCTGTAAAGTCAATTAGAATGACATTCAGTTGTGTTTTTACTTCATTACTGTAGATAACAAATGTCCTTGAGTCAGTATACCCCCTTCTAGTACAATCCATTCAAACATTCATGTTTTGACTCTGTAGAAATGTAGTAGGCTTCATTGTTGGCCTTTGAGCTCTGAAGAGCACAGCAGTCAACAGATCCTAAGTCGCATCTCAATTCATGGAGATTACTTTAATGGACATTTTTATGCAGAGATCATGGGAGCCTTGGAAACTGTTTTTATACTGAGTGCTGTCAATTTCTGAAAAGTTAGATCTACTCACGCTGAAACTAGTGTTTTGTTTCCTGGAACATTTTTAGGCCATGGTTAATTGGGACCCAGTGGATCAGACTGTTCTAGCAAATGAACAGGTGGATAAAAATGGCTGTTCATGGCGTTCAGGAGCAAAAGTGGAACAGAAGTACCTTAAACAGTGGTTTATCAAAACTACTGTTTATGCAAAGGTATGAGTATTAGGTTTTTGTACATCAGCCCATATGTATCTCTTCAGCAGACTAGCAAGAGACTATGTTCTGCATGCATGTGTGTACACACTTTTAGTCCTGTTTACCTTTCTCCTCCTCCTCTAAAGTAAGATCTAAATAACTGGTTTAGGATTTAGCAGTGGAGAAATAAAAAATGGGAATGGTTTGTTTTCATCAGTTGGTTCTGTTTGTTTATATCATGTTTTAACTTTCTAACTGTTCATATTTGGCCAATCAAAAAGAGTAGGTTTGCATTTCACACATGCTTCTCATAAGTAAGAATCAGTGTTTTTTTCTCCTTGCTGCTACTTTTGCTTAACCTCCAAGTACGTGCTTAAGTAACCCACCAAATATCAATCATGCACAAGGGATCAATAATGTGTTTTGCAGTTACCTACACTGTTGTATTAGTCAAGTACTATATTTTGTTTATATACTTAACATTCTTTAGGCTTCTAGTATGTCAATTGAGTTGTGTTTTTTTTAAAATTTGGTTACTGTTACTGCACCTATAGTCATTCATTTCTTAAAATACACAAAAATGCTGTTTGTTCATATGGCACTTCATCAATGGTGACACATTTTCGAGGGCAAAAAGAGTGACAATGCTTTAAATTTGTAGCAGGAACCCTTACTTGTTGACTATGCAGATACTATTTTAAGTAATCATGCCCATGTTGTCCCATTTTTCAAAACTATTAGTAAACTTAAGACCATGTCAAATAACTGTTATAGATTCTTTTTAAAGTAAATTTTAACTAGCTTTTTTGTTTTGACAGATTTCTTTGGCAAAAGGATAATAAGCTTAACTGATGGCATTATTATTCAAATTGTTATCTGTGCGTTTTAGAATCTTACACTGAAATATTTAGTTACTATGGTTACTCAGCTAGGACTGTATGCAGCTTCGTTACTTACTATGGTTACTCAGCTAGGACTGTATGCAGCTTCATTGAAAAAGCTAAATGTTGCTTAGTTATTTTTGTATACAACTGTAAAATGGCACTGTTATTTTTTATGAACAGCCAGCCAAGTCTTCAAATAATATGTCAAGTTGGCCTTTGTTAGCCTTCCCCTCTCCTAAATGGGTGCTATGAACATTTCAATAACATTTTGATATTTGGCTTTAAAGGCTTATCACTAAAGAATGGAAAATTGATGCATTTTGAATGTTGCAAAGCGGAGAACAACTTTTAGATTTGATTTTTTTAATTAATTCATATACCTGTTTTTGTCCAACTCTAGAATAGTATATTTATACTTCAACTTAAAAGTGTGGAAATTGTCAGGAACCATAAAATCCTGCCACACTAGTTTATAGCTAAATCTCAGAATCACTTTTTCTGAGTGCATGTTTTTAAAGAGTTATTGAGAGGCACTGGTACACAGGGTCAGTAGCTGGTTAGTACATTATGAAATTTTAGGCATAACTTCCTACCCAATCCATATGTGAGGAAATGGTCAGTGAAGGGACCCACCAGCTTGGCTTCATTTTTACCCTTGGCTTGCCCTTATAGCTAACAGTCCCTTTCTCAGCATTTTGAAGGGAAACCCCTCAAAAGAAGGATTCCTGCTTATAGGAGTTTGTGCCATCTGGCCAGGGGTTAGGCATTCAGCCCTACCAACATCCACACATTCTGGAATCAACTGAATTCCACTGCTATTCCACTGTTTGTCACTTTTTAAGGTAAAGAGCTAAGTGGGTGTCTCTGTGAATGTATTCATGGAGGCAGATGGTTTGTTAAAGTACATACATTAAACATCAGATGTGAAGAAAAAGATAATGAAGGAATCATATATATAGTAGCCCAATGTCTGAGAGTCTGTAACTCTGAAATGCTGACTGTTCCCTCTGGGCGGCACTGTTGCTGAAATGCTGGCTGTTCCCTCTGGGCGGCCCATGCTGCATGGGGAGTGCGGGGCCCAAACGGCCGCTTGCGCCGCTTGCTCCCCCGCGGCAGCCTGGCTGAGCGGTGCAGAAGTCAGCCGAGCGCCACGGCGGGAGGCGAAGGGGTGTGGGGCGGGGCGGTGACGTGCGGCATGAACCGTGGCGCTCTGCTGACTTCTGCGCTGCTCAGCCAGCCCGCCATGTGGTATCAAGTGGCGCAAGCGACCGTTTGGACTCCACACTCCTCATGCAGCACAGGTCATTTGGGCTCTGCAGTCCCCCGAATGAGAGGCAGGAGGGGGAGGAGAAGAGAAAGAGAGAGACAGAGAGAGAGGCAGGAGGTGGTGGAGAGCTGAGGGGGGGGGAGGCACCGGAGGCTTAGGAGAGAAGACGACCGATGTGGAGGAGACCTGAAAATCCCGTCTTATGATGGGCTAATTGGCTAGTTGTCTAATATGAGTGAAGCAACAGGAGAAAGTATTTCAGTGTTATCAAATGCCAGATTGAGTTGCTTTTAGAATTAGAATTCTGTACTCCGTGGCAAACCATTGACTGTTCTGTTAATACCAAGGACAAAAGAAATCTGGAAAAATATCTCATATTTTTAAAAAGTTTAATGCTTATTTCTACTGAATGTTTTATCTGTTAGTATTTAGAACAGCATTTCATGCTGAAAAAAGTGACATTTTGTGTGATGTACACAAGTGAGATTAATAATTAACATGCAACCCTTGCAAGGAGAGAGTGCTCAAATTAAAAGCAAATTCTGATTAACTTGTATTAATGGTTTGTTATGCCATAGAAAAGTAATGCTGTCATTTATTTGTCAGCAGTAGTGGTCACATCAAGCATGAAATGTAGGTCCAAATGTAACTAGTCTTGTTTATCCTGATTTAATTCTCTTTATTGTTTTATTTTGCTTTATTTCTGTACTACTGTGCAGAATGTCGCCTCTTTACTCACAATAAAATCAAAGCAAATGGTGCATTTTAGTGGAGAATGGATCTTGACAGTATCTCAGCTAAAGTGCCTAATGTAAGGCAAAGTCTTGGAATCCTGAAGAGAATAAAAATGTTGCTTTTCAATTTTTCACTCTTTGGGATTTTATGCTTCCCGCACTCAAGGTTCGATGTCATACTTACTATCCCGCTGGCTGAATGAGACTTATACAAATCCCTTTGGAGCCCTTATTCTTGAGTCACTGTCTCCTGCAGAGGCGCCCAGAACACCGTCTCCACAGCTCTCTTGGCACTTATTAATGCAAGGAGAGAGCCTGTGTGTCCCACATGACAACACAGAAATTACTTACAGGTTTCCAGGCCAGACTGTTCTTTCAGGTTTAATATAAATAAGGTATAGCATTAAATGGTAGAATACTATAGCTTTAAATTCCTATTATATAACAGTAACCAAAGCAATGGACTTTAAGGATTAATTTTTTAAAACAAAAACAACTCTTGGAGTGTTTGGAGTCAGATTTGCAGAATTAATATGACTATTTTTCAGTTTTCCCCAAATGGTATATATTATGTTTATGACTAAAAAATATGGGAAAAAAATTATCTTCAGTGTCATAATCAGAAAGAAAGCTGAATATTTTAGGAATTCAGTTATCCTGTTTCTTGCAATTTAGTTATTTATCTCAGTTCTATGTCAGGCAACAGTGTTTATTGATAATGAGAGAGACGCAAAAACTGCTAAGAATTGAGGCACTGGTTAGTGAGCATTTGAAGCAAGTACAATATCAGTGTTACTGCTCCTTGTGCATATGTATTTTTTCAGTATACCTCACACTTGGGGAAAAAAGATTTGTGTGTGACCTCTAGCAATGTAAGACAATTGAAGGTAGAGGGATAAAATAAGAGTTTGGGAAAAAATTAAAAATCCGTTTTTAAGAAAAAAAATCAGTAGAGCAGTAAATAAATGAGATGTGTAATATTACTTTTATTTGCCAGCATCTTGTTGTATGATACATTTTAGCAAATTACTTTCTGAAGCCATCATACTATTTTAAATATATTCAGTTACTCTATTGTGAGTATGGCTAAATGTAGGTAAGAAATTAATTTCCAGTGTGAATTTAACAAAACTTGACTATACCCTTGGCTTCACTTTTTTGTATTGTCCTCTCCTAGATTAGTGGAGCAGTAAAGTCATCCAATATAGTAAGTGTCAGCAATAAGCAGAATAAAAAGTTTTGGTTTTACAGCTGATATTTAGTTTATTTTCTCAGAAGGTAGATGTATCTGTTTATTTAATTTACTAGCATTGAAGTATCAAAACTCTTCTCATATCTGTATGGATATGATGTTAGGCATCCACCTGTCATAAAATTCTTATTTCCCTAAATTCAGATAGCGATTGAGTTTTCTTTATTTTAAAATCTGTCACCCCAGCCCATCCCTTTTAGTGCAATAGAAGAGGGATCTCTTCTTTTTTGGGAAACTATTAGAAATCCCTTAGCTTTAAGTCTTCTGTACCCTGGATTTATTTGAATAGACTGCTATGTATCATCACTATCACCATATAATTCTTGACTAGACATTACCAAATTTGACCTGGCTTTACTTTGACGTTGTTTCTGTTAAAGATTGTTATTCATGCCTTGCGTTTCCCATGTCAATTATTACAATTCCTTCTTTTATGATCTAACTAAAATTGGTTTTCCTCAACCTTCAGAAAGTCACAGAATGCTGCTACTCTCTTGCTTCAAAGTAGGGCCATCTCAAGGCGATATATTCTCACTGGCTTTAATCTGCCCTTCTGATTTCCATTACTCTCCTTAGACGTCTACTAGTCTCCTTTTTATCTCATTTACCTTCTGTTTTACTCACACATAATTTACTTTGTTCCTCCTTTCTGGTTTTAGAGATTTTTTTCTGGTGGTGCTGTCCCTGTTTTGTAAATTTCCTTCTTTCTAGGCCAACCAAAAGAAAGAGAGTTCTATTTAGAAAGAGACTCTGCTCCTTTCTTCTCTTTGGGTTTCTCTTTTTTCAAAGCTTCTTCTTAAGTTGAAGATGTGAAGATGTAATTTATTTCCCTGACAGTTTTATCCTTCTCCGTTTGGCAAATAGAATTTTCTGTTTTTCAT